CGAAGACTTTTGTCGGGAACTGCATTTAGAATCTGTCGATAGGACTTTACTGTAGCATAACAGCCCACTGGGTCCACGCCAACTTCAGTTTATACACAGATGGACTCTTATGCCGCGGTAGAGATCTATCGATACATGATATACACAAACCCGAGGTTATCATCGCAATGTTTGGAAAACGGTATGGTATGCGTTTACAAGAAACAAGCGAGAGAATTGTCCCGTATACTCGTTGCCATGCAGACATCGTCAACAAAGGAAGATCAAAACGTTCGCGTTCAAATGTAAATCAACAATGAATTCTTCGATAGGGGAGATGTTAAAACCGGTATGCTATAAGTTGAACAAGTTTTTGAGGTTTTATATCGAACGTAACAGCAGCAGCAGCAACCATATCGTATTTATCGCGAACAAGCATTTAGAGTTTCTTGATGTACGTATGAATCATGGCGTCATTTTTGAAATGACCGTTACAGGAACGTTGGGAGAATACGTACAGTCAATCTCATAAATATTCGTACCCTCTATGTCTAGCGAAGAAATTTGTTTAAATTATTTTCATTTTAAATGTATACAGTCAGTGTAAAATTTATTCTGTCTGTATATGTATTACTGATGCATTAAATAAAAAGAGTTTTTATACAGTGAGTTATAAAATTCTTGGTACAGGCAAGAATTTGATAGAACTGAAAAGTTGAATAGAATATTTCGATTAAGAAATTTAGACCATTCTTTTCTACAATAAAAAATGCGACTCCTAGGAAAGAATATTTCTTTCTGGTAATATCGTTAGAATTTAACTATCATAAAAACATATATCTTTCTTGTATCGTATCATATCAAGTATCTTATTTATTTCATTTAATTCATCTACTCCTAAATTTTAGAACAAACATGTTACTTTAACTTTTCCGGCTATTGTATTTCTGTATTGTATACTCTAGTAAATATTAGTTATTTTTTATTCTCAGAGTTTAGCAAATATTTACTTTAATCGAAGACTTTCTTTAAATAACGTGTTGTATTTAACGAGTAAAAATTCAATCAATATAAATACCTCAATTATAAAAGAATTAAAATAAACTTAAACATAGAAACTCGAATATTAGAACTCAAACATTTTTGCGTAAGACGGTTTTCTTTAAAGTTTGAAGACCTCTGATCTCAATACATGTGCATAATTATATTTAAATAATTCAAACCGTAACATTGAAAATAAAATACTACACATAATTGTACATAATGCCAACAATAAGGTTGGAATATTTGTCAAAACTTCTACTAGAAATTATTTAAGTATATAAAATATACATATTTTCTTTTCCTTACAAAAATTAAGTTATGCCGTTTCATTCTGAATGTCTATATCAAACTTGATTTCTATAAACATGAAAATAAACCAGAATCGTATTTTATAAAATTCAAGTTATTTTTAACCATTATAAAACAAAAGATGTTCCCTTGTCTCATTAATTGTGGCCCTGAAAAGGGCCATTTGGGTTATAGTTTAGCGAAATTTTAAGCCTTCTTTTCGGTTTTCTTCGGCAGAAGAGCCGCTTGAATATTCGGTAGAACACCTCCTTGAGTAATGGTAACTCCGGATAAGAGTTTGTTCAACTCTTCGTCATTGCGAACAGCAAGTTGAACGTGTCGTGGAATAATTCTTGACTTCTTGTTGTCTCGTGCTGCGTTTCCAGTCAATTCCAGAACTTCGGCAGCCAAATATTCCATAACAGCAGCCAAATAGACGGGAGCTCCTGCTCCGACACGTTCGGCATAGTTACCTCTTCTTAGCAGTCTATGAACACGTCCAACGGGAAACTGTAAGCCAGCTCTGGTAGAACGGGACCTTCCCTTCGACTTTGCTTTACCACCTTTGCCACGACCAGACATAATGTACTTTAATAAAAGAACAAAGAAAAACAAAAGACTACTACACTGATCACACTGTTCAGTACGATGCGACTGAAGCGAATAAGCAGCGAACCTCGGGCTTCGTTTATATACGCTTTGTCGTACCTCCAGTCGACCAATCACAGAAGAGCAGCGTTCTCGCCTTGGTTCTCACTGCTGCGAAGTAACTTTGAACTTTCAATGCTCGATCATTTTTCATTACTGTTTCGAATAATCTTCATTTTATTCAATGTGATACTCTACTTGTTTCTTTCTTATAGTAATTACTTTTAGTTTATACTTTACTGCAATAATAACGTGAAATAAAATTATCTGTACGAACATACTTGCACATTGAGAATCGCTAGATGAAACATACATTTCTTTAACTTTATTTTGTATAAACTGTTAAGGTATGCAATGGTTTATTCACATATACAATATGGTTGTATTCATATCACAATTATTAGAATTATTCAATTGTGAAGTAATTTACACCAGTATTACTAGAATTATTTAATTATAAATGAATGTATACTGTTTACAGTTACAAATTTTTGGGATAACAAGTTAGAGTAAGATGTATAATTGTTATTTTTTCAATTTGCATATCGTACATGATTTCAGATATAAGGTTCTAACAAATTAACGAACAAGCAATCGTTTAATGTAATGCTGAACAACTCGTATTTATTATTATTTAGTTTAAGTTACTGCTTGAATTGCAAAAATTACGTATCGAGAATAAAATATTTCGTTATTTCGGATATTATACTTCCTCTGTTATTATTTTCACAGGTCATCTGGTCGAATTTCAAATAGGGCTATATAGAATTCACATCTGCTCTCAAGCTGTATAGAGTAATCCACGTGTCTCAAAGAAGCAAATATATTTCGAATCCGTAATAAAACTAATATTTTATTATTTTACATTCTCACACTATGTATATGTGTGTAAAATTTTGTTGTTTACTCGTACATGTATCACGATATTCGAAATATGCAAATATATCTTCCAATTTTTACAAAGAAATAGTTATGTATTTACATTAAATACATGTAAAACAAATAATATTAGACTACATAAAAATGAAGTAATTTCTTTTAAACAATACATTACTATCTGTAATAATTTATTTATCCTTACGATACTTCATTCTATATATGATATATAATGTACTTATTTGTACAATTGAATGGAAATGTTATTATATTAATTCTATTATAAGCGTCGGTTCTATTTACTTCATGAAATGGAATATCTCCTCTAAAACTTGACGAAATATCATATTCTGTGATGTCGCAAATAAAATAAAAAAAACATTTTGTCATATGTTCTTTGGTAAAGCTTGAAACAGTACCTTCTTGTGCGAAGTTTTTTCACGTATTTACATACAATCGTCAAGATTCGTAGAATTAAGAAAAGTACGTTAAAAAGTTTATTAGATATGTGTACATGGCATACGTACAAAATCAATCGTATTGCAAGAATGCCACGGTAGCACCGTCGCACCAATCGTATTCAAGGAGGCCAGTAACGTTCCCTGCTGCGCTGTGATTGGTTCGGAGGTACTACCACCAAACCGTATAAAAGGGGCGCGCAACCCGTGGTACAATCATTCGATGCTCATCGAGCTCAGAGTACAATCGTCTGTTTGTGGATCCTAAGTTTATCGAACGTTCATCATGCCGCCGAAAGTCAGTGGTAAAGCTGTGAAGAAAGCTGGTAAAGCTCAGAAGAATATTAACAAAACCGACAAGAAGAAGAAAAGGAGGAGGAAGGAGAGTTACGCAATTTACATTTACAAAGTGCTGAAGCAAGTCCATCCCGATACTGGAATATCCAGCAAAGCGATGAGCATCATGAATAGTTTCGTCAACGACGTTTTCGAGCGTATTGCAGCGGAAGCTTCAAGATTGGCTCATTATAACAAGCGCTCAACAATCACGTCTCGAGAGATTCAAACTGCAGTAAGACTGTTATTACCTGGTGAATTGGCGAAGCACGCTGTTAGCGAAGGCACCAAGGCAGTAACTAAATACACCAGCTCCAAATAAGCAGAATATAATTCTGCTATTATAAAACGGTCCTTTTCAGGACCAACAAATTTTAAACACGTGGAATTTTTTCTTATGTTAACTGGAATATTCTAATTATTTCTACTCTTAAGCAGAATATAGTTTTGCTAGTATAAAACAGTCCTTTTCAGGACCAACGCATTTGAGACATATGCGACATTTTCTCTTGTGCTGACTGAAATGTTCTAATAATTATTCCTATTCCTAGGCAGAGTATCATTCTGCTAACATAAAATGGTTCTTTTTAGAACCAACAAGTTTTAAATACTTGTGGAATTTCGTCTTGTGTTAACGAAATATTCTAATCACTATTCCTATTCCTAAGCAGAACTGTGTGGAACTTTTCTTGTGTTAATAGAAATATTTAAATTCTTATTCTTTTCTTTTTTATTGCAATAATAATCTAACATTTAAATAAAATTTCTTAATAGACTAATTAGTACTATGCTTTAAATTTGTATGCAAGATTTTGAAATCTCATAGCATAATAGCCTTAGAAAAAATAATGATCTACCACTATAAGTCTCTCACAAACAGTGAAACTAACAAATTTCTTCCAAGGATCATAAATAACCGAGATACTCAAGGTGGATAAAGCTCCATTCTGTATACTGATATTAAACATACAAATTTGACGGAATGTATAAATAAAAATACTGTATAATAATTTTGAATTCGTTTTTCGGCTGGGTTTTATTGAATCTTTTTAACATTTTGATTGGGTATTGAAAGTTGGGCATAGTAACTTGCTTTCCTCCAGTGATGGGCAAAACCCTAGGCTTCGAATAAATGTGAAGTTTGCTGATATGTTTGTCTCGTTTCTTCTTTTGAAAATTTTCCAAAAAAGAAAACGACACAAACATATCGGCAAACTTCAGATTTATTCGAAGTCTAGGGTTTTGCCCATCTCTGCTTTCCTCTAAGTTACGATTATATAGTAAGTACCACAAGTAAATTACAAAATTCCCTAGACGTATATTATGACCACCATGTTCGGTCTTCAAAACGCGTGTATACCAATAACTTTCTATGCTATAGTATGCTACTTGTGTAAGATGGAAACGTTGTGATTACAGCTACAAAGGAGCGGGCTTATTGCGAGTTATTCGCCTGTATATTTGTAAGAATATTAGATAGCCTGGCATATAATCTGGCAATTAATTCTTGATAATATTATTACCAATCACTGACGAGATAGTATATTTGTGGTAAACTGTAAACATGTCGGACGAGAAGAAGGTAACGCTTTATAACCTCAAAACCGATACTATATGATAAGTGGTGATTGAAGAATGTACTTTTTTGCAGGAAACTAAAACAGAATCGGAACATATAAATTTAAGAGTACTGGGGCAGGATAGTGCAGTGGTTCAATTTAAAATAAAAAAACACACACCACTCAGGAAATTAATGAATGCCTACTGTGATCGTGTGGTAAGTTTTATTTCATTTTTTATTGTATTTTGATGTTAAACAACTTGACTCGATATCAATGTTCGTTGTTAGGAGCAATAAAAAATAAAACTTACAACATATAGATAGATTATCTTATCAAGAGATTAGATATTTTCCTTTGATGTACTTGCAAAGCAATTGTTTAAATTCTTACTCCGGAAGTATATTATTTGTATTGTATTTCAATAGGGGCTAGCGATTGCTGCAGTAAGATTTAGATTTGATGGACAACCCATAAATGAATTAGATACTCCAACAACTCTTGAAATGGAGGAAGGAGACACAATAGAGGTTTATCAGCAACAGACAGGAGGATTGTGTTGAGATTTAACATTGTCATTCAATAGTTTCAAAATGGACTTGATAAAAAATTTTGTTTCAGTGCTTATGAGAAAGAGGCGTGAATTATTTTTAATTTTTCCTAACTCAACAGAATACTTTGTTTTATAATATTATGTGGAAAAGTTGTTTACACTTTTTATATAAATCAAACTTAGATGCTGTTCAATGCATTTATTTCATCTAAAGAGTAATCTTTTTACATTTTGTATTGTTTGATACCATACAATAAGATTAAAGTTTTTGTATCTTTCAAACTGTATTATTACCCAGAGTATTTGGTTATCTTGCCTTCATATGTTTACAAATATTGAAAAATTTTACTATTGCAATGAATTTTTTCTTTTGACTAAAGATGTAAAAATACATATAGACTTACCTCTATGTTATTATTAATCATATACATTGTAAATGAAAGTACATCACTTATCTTTCTTGGATTTTGCGCTATATAGGGAAAAAGATGCATATAACTTACAAAATATAAAATTCTCTGTAAATGATTTTCACTGAAAATTATAATGTAAAGTATTACAGTCTCTAAATAAATTTCATCTTTTTAGATATTTTCATTTCTTATAACAATGTATAGATAAGAAAGTGATGAAAAGCATTGTTACAAACTTATGTTAATATTTAATAATGTATCTATGTCTACTAAAACGTTCGTGAAAACTTAATTTAAATTTTATAATTCAATCTTAGTATTAACATTAAACTTACTTTTACTTTCCATAAAATTAATGTTACTTTGTATATGAACATAAATAAATTGTGTCTTATCTTTTCTACAAGAAACCGTTCGAATCTTTTTATTATTGATTAATTCAATTTAAACATTTATAACGGGAAATTTTTGATTAGTAATTATAAAATATATATTAATCATAAATCTTTTATACTGAACGTACAAAAAATGTATTTACGGTATTTTGAAACTAAAATGCGTAATAAGTTTCAGATATTATTTTAATAGTGACTAGTTTTATTTATATTTGTACATTTGTAATTTGAATTCCATTAATCAATAGTTAAATAGTAATTAGTATTATTTAAATATTATATATGATAATAATATGTTATGTTAAATGCAAAAGTTGACAAAGTTTACTATATTAGTATAAGTAACACAAATTTTACAATTTACTATTTTACTTGAATTAGTATGAACAAAAGAGATTATCTTTCCTGATGCAAGTATAAAAACACTAGACGCGTTTTGACTTCGGACTGGTGGAATAATCATCATCACCAAATTTAATCAATCTGTAGTGGAAACGCACCAATACTTCAATTAACAAAAACATGAACTTTGGTAGCACAATCATGTTACAACCACAGACATTGGAATATGTTTGTGCTTACAATATAATTGAAACGACAGAAACTTACGTCTCAAATTGTAATAGTCTCAATATAATTTTACAAGTTACTATTTATATATTACAATTACAGTTTTGCAACGAAAATATATAATGATATTACTGAAGTATTACAAATCAAAATATATCTAAAAAACAAAGAATAATATATTGAATAAGTGTTCTTAACAAATGATTATGGAAACGTTCACTACTAGTTAATCCTTTGATCGTGAAGGGCGTACATATCCGTCCATAAAAATTCGTTTTTAATTTGAAGTCTCAACATTTCTAAATAAAGTTGTGGCATCATTATACTCACAATGAGAAATTGTGAGAAATATCGATTGAAACATCTGAGTTACGGAAAACAAAATACGGTCACCTACTAATTCACGAAGGAACACGCGGTTGAACAGTCAGTCGAATGCGAACGATATAAAATAAAGAATATTCCACCCGGTTGTAATCACGTGGCGCAGCTAGTTATGAATAAGAATAGAAACTAAATAAAATGGCGAAAATTAATGGTTTTGAAAATAATAAAACTTTATTCATGTACGTAACACAAAACATGTGCACGATCGCACACATACATTTACGAACAAAACTAAACAATTTCAAATTGTATATAAATTCGCGCGCTCGTATTCCCACAAGGGAAGGAACAAGTGCGTCACCGTTATTCGAAATATTGTTTAGAATTTTTTCGCTCACTTTAAAATTGTTTTTAATAGACAGCTGAAATGGATAAATTTATTTGTAACAAGTGTTTCGCTACAATTGCGAGAGGAAAACAACCTTTCGTATTAACGCAATGTGGGCATATATTTTGCGACGTATGCAAACAAGCGGGTAAGTGTGAAGGAAATTTATAGTAATAATTGAAATAATAAAGTAGCGAAATATAATGAAGCACAAGTATCTTATACTATAAAGTTATTTTCCCCCTCCCTCTCGCAATGACTGTGTATAGATGCAGATTTTCAATTTCACGATTAAAAATATTTATACATACAAATAAATCTGTAAAGGTTGATAGGTACTTTTGAAACTTTGTTTTTGTTCAAAATTTTTGACATTCTGGGTTTACGTAATTACATCAAAGCTTGAAATGTTTTTAACAAATTTTGATTTGTCTATGTGTAACCATTCTCGGGAACGGGTAATCAACATATTTCTTATTTTATTTTGATTTATTTTTAAAGAAAAACTATAAGCAAAAGCTAATTATTTCTTAACAGTAACTTGTAGCTGTCAAGTATTTAATATTCCAATAAAAATGAATCTTTTGTTATATAGTAGACAAGCAGTGTCCTCAATGTAAACAGGTGGGTGTTTATTTTGTGGAATTGCAACAACCATCCTTGGCAAAGATAGAAAATTATTTTACTCCAATAACCAAATCTCTGGAGTCATTAAACCAGATATGTACTTTTCAAAATCATCAAACGGATCTTGCGATACAACGTTTTCATGATATTGTGAGTTTCTCTAATAGTTGTACACTTTGTACAATAAATGTCTTATCACTTAATTAAATTCAAGGACAAGAAATATCAAAAATTGAAGACATATTACCAAAATCTTTCTATGCATATGAAGTTACTAGAGGAGAAGTATGCACAGCTCAAAATAGAGAATGCAGAGTATAAGAAAAAACTTATGTCGATCGAAATGCGTAACAAAATGGTATATTCTTCAAGCAATGTCTCGTCACTAACTGATCAAAGAAATAACAGAAGGTAAATAATACATAGACAATTAATAACACTAAATCTATGCAAGTTTAAATAGAAATAATTATAATCAATGACACAGTAGAAAATAAGAGACAAAAATTTATAATAATGGAGATTTTGTTTTCATAAGTTATTAATATTTTTCTATTTATAGACCAATGGCACACTCGTACCTTTTCTCTCATGGAATTAAATTGAGCACTGAATCTTTAAACGAGAGAAGAGAAGATATAACTGGTGGATTCGGTGCACCATGTACGAGATCTATAGATGTAATGAATGTTTGTCAACCTTCCAATAATAGAAATTATGCTTAGTTACTACTTATGCTTCTAGAATTTAAATAAAATTAAAATATTTTATCATGAAATCAAAATCAGTTCACACTTTAATAAACATGTAATTTGTTTAATTAAAAAAATTGACAAAACCATTATCTCCAGTCTTTGGAAATTTCTAATTTCTTGCATGCTTCATGAGAAAGCAAAATGATTTGTCACAGAATAATTTTAATATAAGTATTACGTTCATAATAAATAATGTTAAGAAACTATTGATAAGTAAAACTTTGTTGATTCGTTATCAAATACCAGATACAATCTTATGGTTGTAACATAGCTACAATAATTATTTATGGTAATACAAGAATAATAATGCTTTGAGAACTATGTTCAATAAATAATAAACTATTCCTTATTTTTAACAATAAAATCATACGATATTCAATAGTGATCTAACTTGTTAAGTATAATTTTAAGGTTACACATATTTGCGTATATATTATCATGAAAGCAAATGATTCAAAGAACGAAAAAATTGTTAACGCGTCTAGCAGTGTCTAGTAATAGTATTTAGTAATAGATGTATTTACTACAATAATCAGTGAATATATAAAATTTATGTACATATATTATTACTTGTTCACATTCACTAGTGAAAATATATCTCTATATATGTGTACATTCACTGTTCGTTAGTTAATGTTGTAATTTTCATGATACAATTATAGGAAATCTTTTATTATCTAAAAAACAGAATTATGACCAATCCTGATCATTACCTTTTGCTCGTAACCAAACCATCTGATTCTGTTTTCAAGATAGTAAGAAATGTATTATAATTATACCTTTCTAACTAAAGAAGGATAGCATTTTATGTACATCGGAAGGTCGTAATTTGTTAACTTCGTATAGTAAATAAAAAGCTTAATTACAAATAACCTTCGAACACAATAATTTAAATACACTTTCACAATAGTAAAGACACAAATACTTTTCAATTTACTTTTGTAAACTTCGTTTGTGCTAATACCTAAAATTTATAATTTGAAAACAGAATAAAGTCTATTTTTAGTAAGTTTTTAATCTTCTGTTTTGAAGATGTCGCTACGATTTCTGAACAGCAGGTCAGCAGCAGGTGTCGTTGGGTGTTGTTTGAAACAAATATCGCATGTTCACGCATGTTGTGTCGTTTGTAAGTTTTTTCCCATACTTAGTTACTATTATTATTTTCTTATAAAATTAAAATTGTTTCAAATAACTTTTAAAATCTTGATATTTTCCTTAGTTATTATACACGTTTAATCAAAGTAAGTAAATTACTGATGAAACTGTTAAAAATAAGAAAAAGCTGTATCTTTGATCTGTTTTGTAAACATTTTGTATACATCTGTAATACACATGGACAAATACATTCTTCCGTCCATGGTAATACAAATATGATGTATGTATGTAATGTTTAATTTAATATGATTTATTATTGGCGTTCTCAATATATTTTTTGCATTTTTTTAATAATATAAAGATTTTTCTATGCTTTGTAAGAATTTTTGAATACGTATTCGTAATCACTAAAATTGAAATAAAAAAAATTGTAGGTGTACAGTTTGACCTCTGTGTAATCAATACGAATATTTATCGGTAAAGTAAGATACATAATTATTGTATTCTACATTTCTTAAATCTAAAAAAATTTTCATTGTTGTTATTTATTTATCTTATTGTCTTACTTTCATTGTTAAATGTATTGTCAGAGATAAATATTTCACTTCTTTCTTTCTGTGTAATATATAATCTTTTATTTTTAGCCTTATCTTCTTAAAGATATAGATTATTTGTTCCATTTGCATTTAAAATTCCATTGACACTTCTATTGGATTTTATTATGTTTAAAGTTGTTAACAACTAGTAACTGTCAGTTACTATTAATTACTTTGTTATTCATAAATGTTTAATCAGGTGTGGCTCTCTATCAATAGTTGTATACTTAGTCATGTTTTTTTTTTGTAATGTGTGCTTCTTCTCACTATTCGGTATTTAATACTATAGACAAAGTGTTTTCGTGTTTTCATTGAAATTGTACAATAAGCTGTTAAGTTTTAGTAATATGTAAGACAACGAGATGGTATAGTTTCTTAAGTAGATCTTCATACGTGAGTTTTGTGTATCCTCTATTAATATTTTGCATGATTTTAACTTGATCCATTTGGCAGAGATTTCTTATAGGGGGTTGTTGTTAGAAATCATTTGTTATCTTGTGAACTTTTCATACCTTTTCTGTTGTCTATCTATTTGTTCTATTTTTATTTCATTTTTTAATACAATACTATGAACTATTTTAATAGTAAATGCATATATATAACAGTAACAATTAATGTACTCCTTATTATTTCTTTCAGATAATTCCCAATAAATTTTAGATCTATTGAAAAATGCGTCAGTATTTGTTATTCTTTCTCTTTATTAGTCTTGTAAATACTAGTATTGCATGGCGGAGTTTTTTAAGAGGACGAAGTGCAGATGGCAATTTAGGTGCTCCAGTTTTGTCTAAAAGTCATGAACTTCCAAAAGAACAATGGTTTACACAATTTCTAGATCATTTTAATCCAACCGATGCACGTGTTTGGCAACAGGTAATGTAAAAAAATAATAATAATTGGAATAATAAGATTTTTTGTACAAAATCATTAAAACTCATTTTAGTCTCAAAATAAGCTTTATCTACTTATATATAACATTTTTCGCTATAATTTGAAGCTTTTTTTGAATAAACTTATCTAAAATATTAATACAATTGTTTAACATTTTTGAACAAAGAAGTCTTAACAAAATTCTAATTTTATAATTAATTCTTTCAGAGATATTTTATGAATGGAGATTACTATAAAAAAGGAGGTCCTGTTTTTTTAATGATAGGAGGTGAGGGTAGTGCAACTGCCAAATGGATGGTAGAAGGTCAATGGATTGAATATGCTAAACAATTTGGGGCACTTTGTTTTCAATTGGAACATCGCTTTTATGGGAAAAGTCACCCTGTTCCGTGAGTAATATTTATTAACTTTTCAATTTGACTGCATTTTAATCTGTGAATGACCAGTATTGTTAATATTTATAGAGATTTAAGCGTGAAAAATTTAGTGTATCTCACATCTGAGCAGGCACTTGCTGACTTGGCCTATTTTATAAAATCGATGAATGATAATTATAAATTTCAAAATGATACTAAATGGATTACATTTGGAGGATCATATGCTGGATCATTGGCCGCATGGTCACGTGCTAAATATCCCCACTTAGTACATGGAGCTGTTTCTGCAAGCGGTCCTTTATTAGCTCAAATTGATTTTCAGGGTAAATATAAAATGATGTTAAAAACAAAATTTATTTTATTCCTAAAGTATTATTTTACTTCATCAAGTAATGTTATTTTACTTGACAAATTTATTACAGTATTAATTACAATTTACAGAATATTATGTTGTTGTTGAAAATGCTCTGAAGGAATATTCTCAGGAATGTGTGAACGTAATAGCGGAAGCAAATAAACAGTTCCACATAATGTTACGTCATCCGCTTGGGCAACGTGGAATTGTTCAAAAATTCGCGTAAGCAAAGTTCAATTTCTACTGAAATAATTCAAGGCGTTATTAAAGCTTTCTTTATTTATAGCTTATGCGATCCTATCGATTCTGGACACACCAAACGTAATGATATCTCGAATTTATATGAAACATTAGCAAGTAATTTTGCTGGTATTGTACAATACAGTAAGGATAATCGTAACAATTCTGCAATGGCTAACTTGACTATTGAAAGTGCATGTGATATTTTAACGAATGAAAAGTTAGGTATTCCTCTTGATAGACTTGCAATCATAAGTAATAAAATGCTGAATGCAACGAAAAAGAAATGTTTGGACTATGTGTACAGTAAAATGATTCATGAACTTCGATCCGTTACATGGACCAGTGAAGAGGCAGAAGGGGGTAAACTGTTTTCATATTAGCAGCATCATTTTACAATTGTATATTTATTATATTTTAATACCACTTTTTTAATAGGACGTCAATGGATGTATCAGACGTGCACAGAATTTGGATTCTTCCAAACTTCCACCGCACGACCGAATTTATTCAGTGAAACTTTTCCAGTGGATTTCTTTGTGGAACAATGTATCGATGTGTTTGGACCCAGGTTCGTTTAAATACATTAATATACACTTCTTTTATTTTCCTGAAGATATAAAATTATTACATTTTTATGTTTCAACAGGTATAATATGCATTTGTTAAATTCAGCTGTCAATCGTACGAATATTTTATACGGCGCATTAAATTTGGAAGTTACAAATGTAGTATTTGTACATGGATCAGTTGATCCTTGGCATGTTCTGGGAATTACAAAATCATTGAATCCTCAAGCACCTGCCATTTATATTAATGGTATATAAATATAAATGAATAATTGTAATATTTGTATTTTTAAATTATTAATTTGATATCATGATTTATAGGTACTGCTCATTGCGCAAACATGTATCCTCCATCTAAAAACGATTCAACTGAATTGAAGAATGCCAGAATTCAAGTTGGACGATTAATCGATCAGTGGTTGCAAAACTAACTGTGATATTTTTCATTTTTCATGTGATATATGAGACTGCTTAATGATAAATGAACTTTGCTTTAGTTTGTAATGAAACAACATTTAAATTTTGTTCATGAGTTTTTGTAATGATTAAGCTAATGAACAATTAAGCTATGTAAATACTTTTAGTCCAAGTATTTTGTGCGTATGTAACATGTCATTGAATGTATGCTAGCATTCGTCATTTGTATTACGTTAATGACAAGAGTGTAAAATGTAGATATATTAATCAAATTTTGCCCATAATGGCACTATTACAATTTGTTGTGATTTATCGAGATATAAATAAATACATGTACAAACTTAATTTATGAATATCTTACTTCAGTCGATGAATAAGTACGCATCAGTTTCTAATTATATTTTACTTTTGACAAATTTGGGAACAAATATTCAACTGTGTAAGATCGTACATATCATACTATATATAAATAATCCAGTAATGTAAATTCTGCAAACGCAGATTTAATATAAACTTTAATACAATTAATTATCTTATCGTCTTAAACGAGTACCATAACTAGATTTTGATCCTGAAATGGATAACGTCGGCCTTTCCTTAACGATACTTTCTTCGAATATCGTGTTACTACAAGAACTTTGTTCAAATCCCTTAAGGCAAGGCCAAGGTGCCCATAGCAGATTTAAATCCTGTCAAGTAGGTGATTTTCATGAATATTGTACCATTAGAAATATCGTTGTAACCAAAAATTCCTACAATAGCTTAAAAGAAGAAATATTTATTAGAAATCTTGTAATCGTTAATTACATATATATTACTCTCTCGTTTTTTTGGCATGTCCTCCGATCAACTTATGATCCTCCTACATTCGCAACAACTTACACCTCTCACTTATACTACAGCGTAAACGATATTTACATTACGTAACAAGGTAGTTGTAAATAATTTACTGTATAATAGAAAAATAAATGTAGGATGATCGCGTTCTAAATAATTCTTGTTCATCAATTACGCTCAAGATCTCTCCAGCGCAGTGTCTAATCGTTCATCACGTTTCTTGAATTGTACGTGGAATTCACTGATGTACAATATCATAAAAGCCTACTCGCAAGCCAATCATGACTTGTCACAGTACTGTTTCACCGAATTACGGATGCGAAAGATCCTTTCTAGCATATGCGGTGTTCAGTATCTGTGATGAGATTGGGATTGCCTCCACTCGGGTGTTGAGTTACCGTGGTGATGATGATGATGGTGGTGATGGCGTTTCTTCTCAGAAATGCTGGCATGTTTGCTAGACGGATAAGTAGCAACGTCGCTCACAACTAATTCTGAGCCATCCCTTTCAGTGTTGTTACCACGATAGTTTTCTCGGTATCCTGGTTCATCCAGGGTTTCTTTGCGACGAAGTGGAGGATGAGCGGCTTTATGGCCAGCCGTCTCGTGCAGGTTTTCCCAAGCTTGACGGTAGTAACGGTTCAAACCTCCTCGACTTTCCGACGAACTGCTTCCGAAACTAGCAACGGTATTGCAATCTGGGGATGCACGATGCCGATAATGCTTGCTGCTTCTGCCGCGATTTCTGTGTAAATAGAAGCAGTTGGTCAATACATTGCCTTGAAATAAGTGACGCGCCACTACTATTTCTAATTTGCATCTATAGTTAGTACTTTATCTTTCTTTTTCAGATAGGAGATATAGCAACGTATGAGTCATTCATTATGAAAGTGATGTAAATGCACGAAAACGTATATTCTTGAATTCCTATAATACATTCTTATGCTTTTAAATCTATAACATAATACAAAGGCATGATGTATCTACTTACCACCCGTACATCATAATTATTTTCAAAACTTTGATCACTGTAGCAGTAATGATAATGAAAAATAGAAACATACATATTCGAATTAATCTAAGAGTCAAACAATTGTCGACATATCTAAATTAAATAAGGATATGTTATACTGAATTGTTGTTATATGTAATCTGAACGTTATAAATAAGTATATGTATACATAGTGTAAATCAATCGTTTCCTTAAACTTTCATGTACAATCTAACATAACTTTTATAATTAATGACTCATATATGTATTTTATTGTATGATCAATTTGGCTCATTATTCTGAAATCTTATATCATTGCTGACTACAGAAAATATTGTTATGTGAAAGTATTTCTAACGACTAGTAAAGGACTTTATTTACTTTGTAAATAATATACATATAAATAGAAAGGTTTAATTGTGTCTATTATTTTTTTTTAATTTCAGAAGTATATTCAAATATCTTGAATCATTTAAGTAAACGCAATGTGCCTTAAATATAGCATAATTGTCAGTTTTATTTAATCTTGCACTTTCTTTTAAAGGTCAAGTAAAAAATGAATACCAGTATCTTATGATATGCATATCGATTTACGAACCTGGAAAAATAGAAGAAAATTTGTATTTAACTATGGTCTTATTACGAGTAAATAATGTCATTTAACAGCCAAAGCCAATATAACAGCCAAATTGATTATTGTTTGATTTTCAGAGAGTATACACATACATACTTGGGTATTACTTAATTAGTGAAATGGAAGTAAAGCAATTCATAATATAAATTGCACATAAACCATCACCAAGCTGAAGATAAGAGAAGCAGAACAAATTTAAATAAGGAAATAGGTGCATTAGAATATTAGGCATAATAAAAAATAATTTTATTAATCCCTTGCGATTAATAGCATATAATCTATTGTATTTTATAACGTTTTTCTATTTTCAATCAACTTTATGTAGCTATCGAAATTAAATAATTCGCAAGGAATTAATACCTTTATATGACCACTACACAAATGTGTACTTATTAAACTAATTTTAGTAACAGGATTTCTAATAACAAATTACTGACCCAGATTCTAAGAACAAGGGTGGGGTAGGGGTGGGTGGTGGGGGGTGGTGCAAATGTTACATTTGAATTTATCAAAGCCGTGTACATAAATCCAATCAATACTTTAAACTTTTAATTAGCTTATATAGCACAGTAATCTGGAAGAAAATTGAAAGTGTATGTTATGATTTGATCGTGTTAACTTCAATCTGTTGAAGCTATACCTACCAATATCCTAGCTCTATTTAAATAAAATCAACAGTAAGATTATACAAAGTTAATCAACAAAGACAACTTTGACGAGCAATAGTCGAATGACTCTGGAATATTATATGACTAACTCTCAAAGAGTTTTTACGAGCTTAATCCCTTAAGCGAAAATAATATGTATTTATTTGTATCATGGGTTAAGTAGGTACACTCACTGCTACTACTTGTTAATGTTATATTTATTACATTAATATTATATTATATTATTACGTTAATTGCATTACAGCCGAACAGGAGATGATTTCTTCTTCAAAATTGGTGGCATATTTTCAAGAAAATGGACTATGAAAATATATTACACATTTTGAACACTCTATTATAAGCGGATTAAAAAAATGTACTATTACTTCAAAATAAGGCAAAGTTGACCTTTGTGTCTTTACATCAACATCATCAAAAAAACTAGTTATATTAGATGTCCGTCTGGAAGACAAATAAGATCTGTGGTAAACATTTATTCATATTTCAAAAAGGAAGCAAGTTATTCAGATGGATAATTTTACATATCTTGGCATGTATACCATCCATCTTTTTCATGTATTTTGTCATAAAGAATTCATCTTCTGTTCCAGGTAGCATAAATTTTTTTGCATAAGGGACTAATACCGACATCTCGGATCTCCCTACAAGTCTATTTGTTTCAAACTATTTGTTTCAAGGAGGATGGTGCTGGTATCCTATCCGAATGGCGTACACAAGAAGAGTTCACAATTGAGGCGAGCGGTTTGTAAGTGTAATCGGGCTTAAAATCCAGGGGACAGTGAATGAAACAAATCCTAAAATATTATCTGCTAAGAGCCGGTCATATTTTCTGCAAAAAAATAGTCTCCTTGTTTTTAGGACGTTCATGCTTGGGCTATCAAAGTGATTGAAAATAACTTGAATCCTCCAAAGGAAAACACAAGTATAACGAAGAGTCTTTTTGCAAAAAAAGATTGACAAACGGTTAATATTCAGGTATCTGTTTAATTTCACCGTCGCCTAATTTCGAGTTCGAACTAGTCTAAGAAGCGCTCATACCGATCACGGTCTCCCCCTGTCAGCTAAGGGGGCTAGAGACCCAGAGCTACAGGGACCCAGAGTTGGGCAGTGATTACTTTCTGATTATATTTCCAATAATCGCTCGCAATTGTTACAACGAAAGTATTATTAATTTGCGAAGTAAATTTGTAATCTGCGATCACTAATCAGTAATTTTGAATCTTTCAGAGCCGATAGTGTCGGAAGACGGTAACGGATTAGAATTTGCCCAACACTGCGGAGACCACGAAGAGAAGTGCATGATCCACGTGCGTATCAATAAGCCTTGACATCCGTGAGCTGGTGAACGAGCTATCGCTATGGGTGCTCATTATAAACCTTGCTCGTTTACCTTGACTAGTCACTCGCGAGGGTGGCGCATGGCGGTTGTAGTGGTACGTGGTGATGGTTGATGTAGTGGTGGGCGGTGGTTGCGTGGAGGGTGAGGGCGATGGTGGTGGGCTGTACATAGGAGGTCTAATGTCTGCTGGCAACTAGAGGGAAGGATTGGAGAAGTATCCAGCGCGATGGGCCGCCGAGAGACCGAAGGAATAGGGATGATCGGTACCGCGACGGGCCGTCAAATCGCGGCGCCCCAGGTGCTGGTCGGGGAAGGGCAGCGCCAGTAGCGTATACCAACGCGAAGGCATTCCGGTTTCACCCCTTCCAAGGCCACCACTACCGCCACCCCTCAACGCACCAACCCCGCCAAGCCCCCTGCGGCGCCTTCCTCTGACGCTGCCACTGCCGCTAGCCACCGCAACGCAAACGGGCTCAGTGTTAATTGTTATTCTTCATCGATCTACCTTCCTTTGATCAACTTTTTCCTTTTTCCTCCCTTTACTTTTCTTCTTCTCATCCTTAACCCTTGCACTATCAGCTGAAGAGGTGGGAGTACTTTGCAAGATACTTGAAACTTTCACGAGCCGGTTCTTCCATAGTTAATACCAACTGAGGCTTTTAGGCGTACGCTGTATTCTTTGGATAGGGTACTCAAATGTTTTGCTAACATC